GCTTTTAGACAAAGAGAGATTCTCTCATGGAGCAACTTCACTTAGCGTATTATTCAAACTGGTCTGTGTTACAATAAATCTCTTAAAACTTATTGTTCTACCATTAAAAATTAATGTTATTAACATCTTTCCCTAACATGTATTAACTTTCCACAGACTAAACTGTAATTTTGCTTTCATTACTGGAATCTAGCTGCTAAATGTCTCTGCTAAATCTAATCCATGAGTGCTGCTGGATCACACATAATGAAGTCACAGGGGTGACAGCCTTCTTATTTGCACTTTGTTACCTTACCTGTGTTTCCTTGTTTGTTGCGAACAATCAGGTGAACAACGTGTGTCTGGAGGATGTGATGCACGAGGATGCGGTGGGGGCTCTGAAGAACACAGCCGAGGTGGTGTACCTCAGGGTGGCCAAGCCCAACAACCTGTTCCTGACCAACTCGTACAACCCTCCTGACCTCACCAGCAGTAAGCCTCCATCCTTCTGCCCAAATTTCCTCACCCCGTATTAAAGAGAACTTTGAGCTACTAAAAACAAGACCTGCTCTTTTTGTGTTTGGAACAGCTGTCAAAAATAGAACAGAGGAAGAAAAAGTCTTATTAAGTGCCAGAGATGACTGTGGGATTTCTATGAATAGTAAAAGCTCAGTTCAGAACCAGTTTCTACCAGTTTTCTCTACAAAGTGAGAGCTACAAAAATACAAAATACAAATTTCACCAGAAAAAAGTTTCACAAAACACAACAGATGTGATTTTGGGAGACAGAAACTTAATGGAATAGCAAGCTAACAGTAAACGTCTAATAGCAAACATGTATGTACGTACAGTATTAAAACACGTTACTTTCCCCTTTTCTCTTGTACTACACTGATGAATCCTCTGTTTATTTTGAGCGTGTCTCAGCGTGTTTTGGTTTCTGTCACTTTTGTCTTGTTATTTTTCCCCCCAAAACACAGATTTGTTTTCCGCTACTTCCGTAGTGTTTCCTTTTCTATTTTTCTGGTGTTTTCTTAAGTTGCAGTGCAACCTGTGACCTGAAACCAAGAAAAAAGTGCATGAAAATTGAAGTACAACAAAATCCATGTGCTTGGTATGTTACACCTCATTTGGTTTTGTGCTTATTTTTCCAGCATATTCCCATATGGATACTGAACTTAGCCACCCAAACTATCTCGGATCTGATTACCCGCAAGCCCTCACTCCCACCTCACCGAGTCGGTTTTCTCCTGTTCTACACGGCATGATGGGAGATGATGATATTCCCAGGTGAGCAATGATCCTTGAACTGCAGTTTTATCTTGTTTATTTATTATTATTATGGGGGCATTTTAGCCCTATAAAACTTATTTTGTCTCCTTCATCGATTTTTCAGAGAGCCTCGTCGAGTTTTGATCCACCGAGGCTCCACAGGTTTGGGATTTAACATCGTCGGAGGAGAGGACGGCGAGGGGATCTTTATCTCCTTCATCCTGGCAGGCGGTCCAGCTGATCTCAGCGGAGAGCTGCACAAAGGGGATCAGATCCTCAGTGTAATGACAGTTTTCTTCATGTTATCATGTAGTCATGTAATCCTTAGCAGCACTGGGTCGTCAGGTGTTTACAGTCATGGTGTGTGTGTGACAGGTAAACGGCGTGGACCTGCGTATGGCCACACACGAACAAGCAGCTGCAGCACTGAAGAACGCTGGCCAGACAGTTACCATCATCGCACAGTACCGACCCGATGGTAAAACCACTGAGAGACCTTCTCACAAAGAACTTTATACGTTGCAAAACTTGTTTGAGCAATGAGTCTAAAAATTGGCCTTTAAAATAAGCTTCAAAATCTTTTTTTAGAAAATGACTAAATGCAATGGTAGGACTAGTTTTTTAAATAAGGTGGAAATGTAGGCGATGGGCAAAGAACAAAACAATGACTTAGTAATTTCTCATTTAGATTCTTTTTGAAACAAAGAGATCAAACATCTGCAGCTAAATCCATTTATCCACGCTTCAGCCACTGAAGGACTAGACATGGAAAAGAGAAAGATCTTTATTATTATTGAAGCAAACATTTTAGGTGTCTAAGAGTAAAATGTGGAATCTTATATGTTTGTGTTTCTCTGTTGCAGAGTACAGTCGTTTCGAGGCTAAGATCCATGACTTGAGGGAACAGCTGATGAACAGCAGCATGGGCTCTGGGACGACAACCCTAAGGAGTAATCCAAAGAGAGGCTTCTACATCAGGTCTCACACTAAAAGCAGAAAAACTACCTTTGATATTAGCCTTATAGGATGAGATCAAAGTGGCTCGAGGATACAGTTTTTGGGTTAATGCATCGTTTGACTGCAGCATAGCAGAAATCCACAGCTTTTTATCATTAATAAGAGTGGTTATATTGCAGCATAGTATGGATGTTTCAAATACTTCAAATAATGCAGATTTAGTTCCATTTAATGTTGTTTAAAGTATTTTGAGTCAGAGAGCTAAAAATCTACCTGCACAAAGCCAAAAATATGTCAAGCATATTTAACTAAAGAAAATGTCATTATTTGAACTCAGCCGTCCTTCCACTTGAACGCCATTATGCTGCCAAATGTGTCTGCTACAAAGAAACATCTGCAAAGCCTCGTTCAGTTGAAGTGTTGAGTTTTGAAAGTCAGAATAGGATCTATAGCTGCAAGAGTAGAAGTAGAAGCGTTATCAAAGGCAATGTATAGTCAGGCTTCAAAGGCACACAATATGAAGTAAGAATAGAGAAATAAAATGACAAGGCGAGCGCTAGACATACAAAAATCACAAAAACTACAAGCCTTAAGAGGAAGAAGAATAAGGAGGAAAAATGTAAAGTATCTGTCTGCAAATATGTCTCAGTCAACAGCATTAGAGTGTTTATTATTGTTTCCTGGGCCTTTATATGCATTTAGCTACCATTTGATGTATTCACCGCCAATATTAGATTTACAGGGAGTACCAGCAGGACACCATTGCATTACTGTGTTTACTGTGTATACAACAGGCTCACGTGTTTACTGAAGGTAATCATTTAGAGCAGTCAACCCAACGTTACTGAAACGCTCTTTATTTTCTGCGCAGTTAAATAAAAATGTCACGATTAATCCATGGAAACTAAGCTCTACAGCCACACAGCAACCGACCCACATTGAATTTACTCTGAAATGTTCCATTTAAAGATTTACACCAACCAACTTATTAACTATGTTTATTAAAGACAAACTAAAGAGTACTTGTGGTGCAAATTATCTTCAAAATCACCACTGCAGGTTGCAGAAATACTTTAAGCCAAAAACCAACAAGCAAACATCCAAACACTACATCACACTGCACAGAATACACACTGGTCTTTATAAGAAGTGTGGGTGAGAGGACTAGTCGCTGGTATTCAAGGTATGCTTTGCTTGACCGAAAAAAATCCTGGAAAGAGAAGCAGTTCATGGTTACATTTCACACAGTGTGTTATACGTCCACTGGCACATGGAAAGCAGACGCTGTCAGTCATGCTTTTAAAGCTCATAATTACCGGTAGGCTAAATCCAATATTTCGTACAAATTCTTCTTTTCTGAATAACTGAAGTCGTGCGGGGCACTCAGTGCTAGCCACAGGTGGCTAAAAACAATTATTTTTAAAAATGCCAGTATAGCAGCGTACCCCCAATGTTTTATTCCTATCCGCTTTGTCTTTATGAAAATGTCAAGCATGTTGCTGGTCCTCTCTCTCCATTTAGTCAGCACACTTGTTAAAATTCAAAAATTATTTTTTTAGCACACATCTCTTACAATGTAACGTTTCCAACTGTACGGATGTTTCTGTTATCACGATGCACATTAAAATATACTAAAAGCGCAGTTTTTGGAATATCAGTGGCTTTTAAAAAAAAAAGATATTTAAAGGCTTTTTATGAAATGCCTAATTGAAATCCTCTTTTTCCTTCCAGGGCTCTTTTTGACTATGATAAAACTGCCGACTGTGGCTTTCTCAGTCAAGCACTTGGGTTCAAGTTTGGAGACGTGCTGCACGTGTTGGACTGCGGAGATGAAGAGTGGTGGCAGGCCCGTAAGGTCAGCCCGCAGAATGAGGCTGAAGAGGTTGGCTTCATCCCCAGCAAGCACAGGTCAGACACTTTATATGTAGCAAACTTACTGAAATGTAGAGTAAAGCACTGCAGCTCAGTGCTAATGACAGGTTGTCTCACCTTTGTCACACATTTTTCTTCCTTACAGGGTGGAAAGAAAAGAGTGGTCTCGTGTTAACACCAAAGAGAGGGTACGTTTGTTCATTATAGCTTTCTGAAGGAGGGGAGTTCATTCAAAGTGTGTCCTGATCGGTAAATATCTGCTCTTGTCTCTGTTACAGGACCTTGGTCGGGACAGCTTGAGCACACAAGGTAATTCGGTGGATGCTCTTTTGCATCCATTAAGAGATTAGTAATATGCATTAAAGGTGCAAGTAGCTGGAACTAAAACAAATGTGTGAACAAAGCAGTGTTATCATCACCTTTGCTCTACTCTTGGCATTGCTGATATCTCTAAATGCCTCTCCACTATTATTTGAGCAGATCATTGACTGCCAGATATGAATCTAAGACTTCTCCTTCAGTATTTCCCAGAAGGCTATAATCCAAAGCACACATTACGTCAAACAGTCACGCCTTTAACACCTTGCCAATAATGATATCTCATACATTTGCTGCCACCTTTGAAGATACATCATCTGCCCTGCATATAAGTACAAACACGCGCATGCCGATGCAAACGTGTCATTTGTAAGAAGGCAAAAAGAAACCGAACGCTTCTGTGTTCTCTCACCAGGGAGAGATAAAGCCTCACACAATTATGAGACAGTTACCCAAGTGGAAGGTAAGGTGAAGTCTGCACTTTCAGGCTTTTATACGAATGTTCATTGTTTTGATTTTCTCTTTTGTGAATGATCCCGCTCTCTCTTTATCCTTTCATTCTCTTTATGATAAGTACATTATGCAAGGCCCATCATCATTCTGGGTCCTGTGAAGGACAGGATAAATGATGACCTGTTGTCTGAGTTCCCCGATAAGTTTGGATCTTGTGTCCCACGTAAGTAATTACGCTGTCAGTCTCGGAGACAGATGTGTTCGCCAGTTTTCACTTGCTGCCACCGCTGCACAATGCGACAATATTAAAGCGATGTGTGCGCAGTGCATCAGACAGAGGTGATGCTGAGATTCAAAATGAGGTGCCCTTTCTGTTCTTCGTTTGACAGACACCACGCGGCCCAAGAGGGAGTATGAGGTGGACGGGCGAGACTATCACTTTGTGTCCTCCAGGGAACAGATGGAGAAGGACATCCAGAGCCATCGGTTCATTGAGGCCGGACAGTACAACAGTCACCTGTACGGCACGAGTGTCCAGAGTGTCCGTGAGGTGGCTGAGCAGGTGTGCAGCAGCGTGTTGGATAATGGGTTTTGTAAAATGGGATCATTACCTCCAGATTCATTGAGATATTGAAAAATAATGCCATAAAAACCACGGCTTTTAGTACCCAGAGTATGAAGTCAGGCACAAGGACATTACTTAAAGGAACAGTTTACCCCCAAATATATTTACATATTTTACCTCTATACCTGCTTTTTATTCATCTAAATGGGTTTGGGTTTGAGTAGATATGTGCAGACTCGACCTTCTATCATGTATAATATACTAAATAGCACTTGGGCTGTGTGGTGAAACATCAGTAGTAACGCTTCTTTCAGAAACCACAAAATCACAGTTTTTAGGAGCTTGAAGCACCACAAGGCAAATATTTAAGATATCTGATGGCAGATATCTCTTCAAAACTGGTCAACTGACGCAAAACACTGTAGATAAATAATACTAAAAGACATGGGGAAAAAACTCTTACCCCTTTAAGTATGATGAATCCGTTTGCACTAAAAACACTTTGTGTTTTATAACAGCAATGCTCCGTTTAACTAATAAGCTGCAATCTCTTGTGGCTCAATTAACCTACAATATTCATTAGTAAAATAACATTCTATTTTTGTATTTACTTATCATTTCTGTTCTTGCTTGCATGCATGAGCAGCAGGGGAAACACTGCATCCTGGATGTCTCAGCCAACGCTGTGCGCAGACTACAAGCAGCTCAGCTTCACCCAATTGCCATCTTTGTGCGGCCCAAGTCGCTGGAGAATGTCCTGTATGAGCTCAAATCTTCTATATGCATTTAGAAAAAAATTCTGACAATGATTATTCTTTACAGCTTGAAAGCAGGTGTGATTTTATATTTGTTTGATTTGATTAACAGAGAAATCAACACTCGCCTGACAGAGGAGCAGGCCAGGAAAGGAATGGACCGAGCCCTCAAACTAGAACAAGACTTCCTAGAGTGTTTTACTGGTAAGAGCATGCAGCAATCACATGTGCACGAGGTTTGGTTTTAGATTGCACTTAATTACATGGACATTTTAAATGTAAAGTCAACAAAAAAGTAAGCTTTTTTCAATGCACTGTCTATCACTGTATTCTTAGCAGAGGGATTCACATTTAGGTTTTGGCAGAACCAGATGGAAAAACAGGATTTTATGCGTCTGTGTTTGCACTCAAATGTAGGATTACTCATAATCTATTTGATATGGAAAAAAATCATCTCTTTTATCATTACAAGATTCTAGAAACAACAGGCTGACCGTGTTTTGCTGGCGCTCGTACGCACACTTTAGAAGGTGATCAAACTTCCTCTTGTAGCTCTCGTAGATTTTTTTTGTTTAATGCCAACGAATGCCAGCGACCGGGCTCCGCGCTCCCGTTTGTACTGGCACGACTGAACGATCTGAATAAGAAAAGGAATGCCTTTTGGGAGGACTCAGGGCATTTTAACATTTAAGCGATGCATTTAGGGCAAATCTCAGCAGTTGGCAGAATATGAATGTGAGGTTTCACAGCAAATTCAACACTGTCTACAGTTTCTAACAAATCATGAACAGTGGGGGGGTGTGACATTTCATCAACCACTCAAAGCACGTGGGAAACTGTGTAGAACTACTTAGCTGATGTAAATGTGCCTCTTCTTTGATGTCGTACACAGATTGTAAAACTATATTCATAATTGATTATATCTTAAATTGTCATTTCCCCTGTTTCTCTTTATCCCCACGCCACCACCCAACCAATGTTTCAATTTCATCTCCTGTCTTTGCTCTTTTCTCTTAATTTCCTGCTGCCTGTGTCATTTTTTTCTTTAACCCATACCTCGTTCTATTTGTTCTTTTCTTTTCTCTCCTTCTGTCGCACATGCTGTGTCCCGCTGCAGCTGTCGTGGAAGGGGACAGCTTTGAAGAGGTCTATCACAAAGTAAAGACAGTGATTGAGGAGCAATCAGGGCCTTACATCTGGATCCCCACTCGGGAGAGGCTGTGATGCTGCACCCGCTCGACCACCCCTCCCTCACAACCACCGATCGACCGCCACCCTTCACCCTCACAGCCAAGCCAGCCTCGCCTGCCTGCCTGTCTGTCCTCCAGCAAAGTCAGTGCTTAGGCAATCACTGAGAATGACACAGAGAGATAAACGCATACTAAGACAAAACACAGCGACACCGCGAGGCAAAGAACGATACCAAAAAATAAAAAATAAAAAGGAGAGAGACTCTGACACAGATGTAAATGCAGCGATGTATAAAGAGACTGAGAGAAAAGACTAAACCAGTATCCCACTATAATGAAGCCGACCCAGTTCACACTTTGCATTAAAATGCATCTCGGATACACGAGTGGACAGCTCTAGATGCAGCTGTGACTGCACCCTAAACTGGGTGCTGGTGCGGGTGGGGGGGATGCAAATATCCAAATCACAGATAATAACTTGTGTATATGTAATGTGTTTAACCTGTGTTTGGATACAGGTGCACTTTCCCACCAGATAGGGAGCAAATGAAGTGACTATTTCAGGCGGATTTCAGTTGCATTTTGATGCCGGGTGTGAACTGCAGCCCACGTCACCTGGAGCTCAACACAGCAGTCTAGATGTATGTGGACATGAGACATTAATTCTGAGCAGGGCTCGAAAGAAAATAAAGGATGACCTTGCAGAGATGGACCCTGAGGTGCTATCGCCTCACCTACAGAGCCATCTCGAGTCTCATGCCGACATTGAACACCTCAGTGCACCGATGTCTCAGATGGAGGTCCCCCCTCACTTTAAAAACAAACAACAAAAGACAGTGGCCACTCTTTTTATATCACCTCCTGGCTTTCTGTCCTCCTCGTCCTGCCACCTCTGCCTTGTTTCAGGACAGGAACGGGGAAGACCGAGAACAGGGGCCCAGATCCAGCTGAGTCCCACGTGACCAGGAGTCCTTTCTCAGCAAAGACCCGCTTTTTTTTTTCTTTTTCTTTTTTTTTTTCTTTTTGTGATTCTCATCTTGGTTCTGGGTGTGAACTCAGAATAACACCTCAGTGGCCAAGACTGACGTTTGTTCGGGTCACCCCATGTTGAATATTGCAAGGCATTATTTAAAGGCAGTTCAAATAATTATATTGCTAAAAAACTCATACGCTGAATTTCTGCATGCATCCTCAAAGACAACGGAGAGAGAAGAGAAAAACAAAGGAAGAAAATCGTGATAATAATCTAAAGGAAGGAGAAAAAAGTGAAGGAGTTTGTTTTTTTTAGCATGTCTCAAGAAGAGAAGAGAGACATGATCATGTGATTATGGTCATGAGAGGCCAGTGCTGAGCATACTAGATGCTCTGGCGTGTAGTTTAGCCTCAACTCTCTTATGCACACAAACACACTCATGCACCCACACACACACACCCTCACTCCCTTACAGCGGCACACACACACACAGACACACAATCGTAGGGTCGTAAACTCAGCTGTAACCTAGCACACCTCTACAGGCGGATTGGCTGTTCTGACCTGCTAGTCAGCATCCAGGATGAATGTTATCTCTCTAGGCACAAACAGCAGAGCTCTTAGCTTCATCGCACCACAGCAAACTCATCGGTCATTCTTCCAAAAGATACCCCCCTTCCCCTGCCGCAGACGTACACACCGTCTCCAGTGGTCGCAGTTAAAAGCCATGGCGTATGTGTGTGTAAGTGTGTGTGTCTGCGTGTGCACGGTGGTGCTCGTTCATGTGCGGGGACTCCTCTGTGTGGGAGGAATATGTCCTTTTATCCGTTCTCTCTCTTCCAGTTTTCCCTGCTTCTTTCTCCTTCCCGTGTCCACACAAATTAAAGCTAAGTCATGTTTAACAAATAAATAGCCTATATATATAAATATATATATATGCATATATATCTTTTTTATGACAATTTCTAACGGGATTAAGTCTGTAAAAAAAAAATTAACATTTCCAAATAATATTCCATTGATTTTTTTTTTTTTTTTT